ACCATTCAAAGCTTTATAAACCAGCAACAATATTTTGAAATATATTCTTTGACACACAGGAAGCCAGTGTAAGGACTTCAGAACAGGAGTGATGTGATCCACTTTCTTAGTGTTAGTGAGGACTCGAGCAGCGGCGTTTTGAATTAGCTGCAGCTTTCTAATAGATTTATTAGTGAGACCTGTAAAGACACCATTGCAGTAGTCAAGTTTACTGAAGATAAAAGCATGGACAAGTTTTTCCAAATCCTGCTGTGACATTAGTCCTTTAATCCTAGATATGTTCTTTAGGTGATAGTAGGCTGATTTAGTAACTGTTTTAATGTGACTGTTGAAACTCAGGTCAGAGTCCATGACTACACCTAGATTTCTGGCTTTATCTGTTGTTTTGAACATTGCAGACTGAAGCTCAGCGCTAACTTTTATACGTTCTGCCTTGGCTCCAAAAACCATTACCTCAGTTTTATCTTTGTTTAATTGGAGAAAGTTCTGACACATCCAGTCATTGATTTGTTCAATGCACTTACTCAGTGTTTGAATTGGAGCATAATCTCCTGGTGAAATTGTTACGTAAATTTGTGTGTCATCCGCATAGCTATGGTAACTTATTTTGTTGTTTTTCATTATCTGAGCCAGTGGTAGCATGTAGATGTTAAAGAGAAGAGGCCCCAAGATGGAGCCTTGAGGTACCCCACATGTCATATTTGTCAACTCAGATGTGTATTTACCTATAGAAACAAAGTTTTTTCTGTCCTTTAAGTAGGACTCAAACCAATTTAGAACTGTTGCCGAAAGTCCCACCCAGTTTTCTAGTCGGTCTAGTAATATGTTGTGGTCAACAGTGTCAAACGCAGCACTGAGATCTAATAATACTAACACTGAAGTTCTGCCACTGTCTGTGTTTAAGTGGATGTCATTGAAGACCTTTACAAGAGCAGTCTCAGTGCTGTGGTTTGGACGAAATCCTGACTGGAACACATCCAAACAGTTATTTAAATGCAAGAAGTTACTCAACTGTTGAAATACAACTTTTTCAATGATTTTACCTAGAAATGGCAGGTTTGATATTGGCCTGTAATTGTTCATTACTGAAGCATCTAGATTATTCTTTTTTAAGAGCGGTTTAATGACTGCAGTTTTCAGGGCCTCTGGAAAAATACCTGAGTGAAGAGATGTGTTTACTATATGAAGTAGATCTGAGGCCATGCAAGGAAAAACATCTTTGAAAAATCCTGTTGGAATAATATCAAGGCAGCAGGAGGAGGATTTCAGAAGTTGAATAATGTCCTCTAAGTTTTTACCATTAATCTGATGGAATTGTGTCATGGTGTTTGAATTGATATTAGGTGGACATAGGGACAAAACATTTGCTGTACCTGATGCAGAGGCACTGACTGCTTGTCTAATTTTCTGAATTTTGTCAGTGAAGAAGGAGGCGAAATCATTGCACGCCCTGGTGGATAGAAATTCAGAGGCTACTGACACTGGGGGGTTAGTTAGTCTGTCGACGGTAGCAAACAAGGCACGTGCGTTGTTTTTGTTTTTGGTAATGATGTCAGAGAAGAAAGACTGTCGTGCGTTTTTCAATTCCAAATTATAAAGGCCAAGTCTCTCTTTATAGATTTCAAAGTGAACCTGGAGATTTGTTTTTCGCCACCTACGTTCAGCTTTTCGACACTCTCTTTTTTCTGTTCTCACGGTCATGGCCTTTCTCCATGGAGATATTTTCTTGCCAATCACTTCCTTTACCTTAGTTGGAGCAATGGTATCTATAACATTTTTAATTTTTGAATTAAAATGATCTACTAGCTCATTTACTGAGATGTTAGCAGGGGCAAGTGTGGATGAAAAATTATGAGTAAACATTTCCCTAGTATTTTCAGTTAAATATCGCTTTGTGGTTACCTCTTTCTGAACATTTTTGTGAACAGAAATAGAGCTCTCAAAGAAAACACAGGAATGATCAGAGAGTGCAACATCAGTCACCACAACCTTTGAGATATTCAGACCCTTTGAGATAATTAAGTCCAGAGTGTGCCCCTTATTGTGCGTGGGCTCCGCCACATGCTGAGTCAGTCCATAGTTATCAAGAACACAAAACAGTTCTTTAGCCCCTCTGTCCTGGGGGTTGTCAACATGGATGTTAAAATCACCAACAATGACTAAACGGTCAAAGTCAATACACACTATAGACAGCAGTTCAGTAAAATCATCAAAAAAGCTTGCACAGTATTTGGGTGGTCTATAGATATTTAGGAACAGAGCTCGAGAGGAGCATTTCAGCTGAAGGGCCACATATTCAAAAGAAGCAAAGTCCCCATAAGATGTCTTCCTGCATTGAATGGAATCATTGAACAAAATAGCAACTCCACCCCCTTTCTTATGCATTCTTTCCTGACTCATAAAACTAAAGTTGGGAGGGGTTGATTCGATAAGAACAGCTGCACTGTTATTTTGTTCAATCCAAGTTTCCGTTAAAAACATAAAATCGAGATTGTGCTCAGTGATAAAATCATTGATTAAAAATGTTTTTCCTGCCAAAGACCTGACATTTAATAAAGCTAGTTTAAGTTTGTTAAATACACTATCAGTAAAAAATGTTGTGACAAGCTGTGGCTGACATGGAATCACTGCTAAATTTGATAACCTCACACAAACGTTTGAGCACTTCCTGTTTCTAAGCTGATTTACCGCTCTTAATCTATTACCTATCAACACAGATATCGGCAAAGCTACTGGCAGGCAGGGCCCCGGCATGTGCTGGAAAGAGTTGAGAGTGCCATATGCCATTGAGCCTGGACCCAGCACATATCAGTAAAAGTTTGTTGCGTTTTGTACACACACATCCTTATCAGGCTTCGGAGACTGCAGATGCTTTCTTGAAGGGAGGGGAGGTGGTTGACGTAGGCAGGGCTCTATAAATAAATAACTAAGGCAGATATGTAATATTTAATGCAGCCGAACCGTGTATTACAATGCCGTTATGTGATGACTTCCAAAGAGAAAAGCAAGAACACTCGGAATAAAGTATTTTTTAATTTTTTTTTAATGTTTTCCGATTTCATATCGCATAAACACCATATCCCAACGTGCATTGCGGCTAAAACATCCAGGATTATGGGTAGTTCGATGTTTTAGCCTATCAAAACCTCTGAAAAAAGAAATGTGTTTCTCAGAATCTAAAGGGAAAAACCTATGGGAAAAACACAAAAGCAGTGTACACAATTTAAACCAATTAATGTTGTGTAATTAACAAGGATAAACTGATGTTTTTTAGTGGATGAGTACTGCAGATATCACTGTTAAATCATTTGATCATTAGTTTTATTATGAAAACGTCGAGACCGGAAATACTGTTTTCACCCCGTGAGGGTTGACGCTAACTTTACATGGAAGCTGCCGCATATACACGTTCTCCTGGTGAAACCTCAAATCATCTTCGTAATATCTATCAAACTATAGATCCTACACATCCACTGGACGTGGATTATAAAAGTACAATATACACTTATCACTAGGAATCTAATCAAAAAGCATTTTAATGGCCAAACTATCCTACAATTTAGGATTTTACAGAGAGGGTTATTTGTGAATAAACAACCCTCGAAAACTTTAAAACGTGATTATAGGTCGTAATAAGCGCTTGATCAAACGACCTATTTGGTCGTATGAGTTGGAGGACTTGTTGATTCATACATGCAGGTATATATCACACATATATGTTTGTTTTTTTCTAGCACTAAAATAAAACTAAACAGTGGATTCCTGCCAATTAAAAGTATACAGCAAAGCAGCCAGTACATACTTTATTTAATTTCCCATATCAACAGTGGAGTCACACCCACACTGTTGTACCCTACCATGAAGATTTGCAAAGTTAGAACCATTTATACAAGCATTCCTAGTAACTATATTCCTAAATATTCTGAAAAGATGGAATGATTTCACCCGCGTGAGGTTAGTTGAGTATGTTACGTTTGTGAAATAAGTTACATCTGTTACATGAGTTAAAGTGCAACACCGGGCTGGTGTTTTTTTTATGATCCTTTCCATCCTCGCCAGCCTTCTCTGCATGTTGACTTATTAAGCAGACTTTGAGTAGAAATGTATTAGTGAAACAAACGTAAACAAACTTTATCTTGGAGAAAATGACTGTATGATAACATACATTTTACAGAAGACTAGACTGTTCCCTCACACCTTCTCCTGCAACCATCTCTCTTTCATTTGCTAGAACTCCAGTTACACGCACATGCACACACAAACATGCACACACAGCCTTTGGTCTCCTGCCGAGGATCATTTCAATGGAGTGCAGCTAAACAGAACCAAAATAATTGAAGTGTACCACTCTAACTAACTGAGAGCCACATTAGAAAGAAGTTCCCTCATTCCCTCAAACAACTTTAATGTGACTCGGTTAACATCTATGAATCCTGAGGGGCTTTCCTTATTGCTTCAGGGGTTCTGAGTAGGAAGCGGGTGCGCTGCCTTTTCAATTAAATGTTTATTCCCCTTTTGAGCAGAGTTCGGCACCTAAGTTCAATTCACAGATATTTTCCAGTCATGAATATGGAAAGGAATTACTTGAATGGTACTGCGTTAGCCTTTAATGCATTTACTGCTACAAAACAAGCTTTTAGTGGAGGGCTAAAGTAAACACTTGTATTTCTCTTACTTCAGTTTGAGCATTTGACTTATCCAAAATGAGATTGCCCTTGTGCTAATCAAAACAGTTATTTTTTGCTTAGCACAAGTGAAATCTCATGTCAAGATGAATCCAACAGTACTGTCCATTTCTAGAGTGTAATGCTGATCTTGAAGAAAATAGTTTTGTGAAGAGAATTACCATTAATAAATAGCATAAAAGCTTCTATTCTGGGACCCACATTTTCCGTCATTGCTGAGTCTCCAAAATGAGTCGAGATATTTTTCTTGTCTTTCTTTTTTTCTATGTAATCCAAGTGATAATAAGTGTCTTCTGCCCCTGTGTCTCCCTACAGCAACAGGAGCAGGACCCCACCAACCTCTACATCTCCAACCTGCCTCTGTCCATGGATGAGCAGGAGCTGGAGAACATGCTGAAGCCCTTCGGTCATGTCATCTCCACACGGATACTGAGGGATGCCAACGGCCTGAGCAGAGGAGTCGGCTTTGCCAGGTATGCATCCAAACTTTCTCCAAAACTGATTATACATCCAGTTATAGTTTAATGTACGCTTTTGCTGGGCAACTAAAATAACTTATCAGGCACAATATAATACGGAATCATAGTTATCAAGCCAAGCTATCACACATTTGAGAGGTTTCAACTGTTTTATATCCTACAAAGAAGAATCAACATTATCTCAAGTTAACTCTCTGCCATTTTCTACCCAATTACTTCTAGCTGTAACTGCACTTTCCAGTACCCTTGGCCCCTTCACCCTGCTCTGTTTGTGTGTGTTTGTGTATTTTGCGTGTGTGTGTGGTCTTCTCAGTTACACCGTGGAGTGTGCCAGTGATTAGAATGCAGCCGGGGCTCTATTCAGGGTCACTGGCTATGTGTAGAAAACCCAAGACCCACACAGACATGCATGCTCACATACCACACGCACACAGCTCAGAACGCCATCTTTCTCTCCCACACACACAAACTGGCTTTTGCTTGCCAAGCAGGCAATTAGTCATTGAGCTCTGATTGGGTGAGCGGAGCTGAATGGGGGCAGACAAAGAGGACATGACACACAACAGATCAGACTGAATGGAGCTTTTAAACCCGAACAAAGGAGAGGAAACCCCATAGAAAACACTGTGACTGACACACACGCAGGGCCTACCTCAGACTTTTTTTTTTTCTCAGGCATGCATACTGTAGACAAGCAAGCACAAAAGGCAGGCATTTAATGTATTTTAATGACATTTGCATGCACACATAACCACGTACAGTACATTCAAACTTGTAAAAAAGCTAGTGTAAATTGATTGTCCTTAAGTATCACCTCTATCTTTTCTCTCTCCCTCTCAGGATGGAGTCGACGGAGAAGTGCGATGTGGTCATTCAAAATTTCAACGGCAAATTTTTAAAAACCCCTCCAGGCATGACAGGTAGGTGTCGATCACCGAGACAATTGCATTGCACTGGCAGAGCTGGTGTTTTTTTCTACAGAGAGAGTTTCTCAATAGGTCAGGGTGCTCATATTGATGCCGCAGCAGTGGCATCACACACTCAATCTTCCTACACACACCAAGGTTGGTTCCCTCAAAGGTCAGAATATTTTAGTGTGTTAGTCTAACTCCGTTTGCCACCAACCTTTAAAAGCACCTCCAATGATTTCTGAGTTTTGTAATGGAAGTAAATCTTTAAACGTCTAATTGGTGAGAATCCAGCAGTCTTGTCATGTTTCCCCTGCGCACATCATGGTGTTGTTATTTGCAGAGAAAAGGTGGAAAGCTTGCATAGCTGGGGCTGGATATTGTTTAAAAAAATCTATAACGACAGAAAAAATAAATAAAGTTATGGATACCAATATCATGCTTATCTTCAGCGCCTTAGTTTGAGAAATATAAACACATTTCCCGACAATGGATACACCCGTAACTGTCACAACTACCACTGTATTTTCATGTTTTATCAGTCACACACGGGGCATCTCCGCCTTTTGGTGTTACAACATCTGTCTGTGTGCAAGCCGTGTCAGTGTGGCTGAGAATATATCGGCATCATCTCGGCTCCCTCTCTCTGTCCCATCCTCAGACCACCTTGGGTTGATTTAGTAGGAAGATCTGAGTGATTAATTGACTATTGACTGTGCGGGATGCAGATTGAGACGCACACATGCACAAGGGTAGGAGAGAAGGGGAAGATGAGGTTGTAAGGAGAGATGGATAAAGAGAAAGAAGACAAGGGGGAGATGCATGAGGAGGAGATTGAGGATGTCATTGGGTGTTGGTGTGAGAGAGCATGACAGAGACAGGGAGAGCGGGGTGAGTAAACATGGAGAGAGATAACAAAGCAAGGACAAGTTGGGAGAAAAGGGAAAGCTGAGGTGGGGAGAAGCAAACTGAAAGTGACACAGAATGAAAGAGAAGAGATGGAGAAACAGAACGATCAAATGTAGATAGAGAGAGGGGAGCTGCTCCACGCTGAACAAAATGGAAATCAAGGACAGACAGGGAGCTGTGCCCCGTGCTCTGGCAGTATGATTTGTGAGGGACAGCATGGTGGGCGGCTCAGTTTCTCACCCGGACACACAGGCTGCTGTGCTTCTATATACTGTGAGGTATAGCTGTGTGATTTTGTAGAAAGTGATATGATTCATTACATCCTTAGCTGCTGCTTTCTGCAGCCTGCGTGGGTGTCAGTGTTTGTAAAAAAAATCAAACAGCTCCTGAAAGCAAAAAAAAGACATGAACTTCATGCTTGTTCTAGGTTGACCAGCTTCCATGAAAAAATCTGTAAAGAAAAGTATTGTCCCATGTTATTTGATCAACATTCCTTTAAAGGCTATCATGTTAATAGGTTTTCCACTTACTTGCTGTGTCAGAGCATGATTTGTTTTAAAAGCTGCTGGTGACTGGTGTCTAATGGTAGATGCTTAATGAAGGTATGACTCGTATTACACACTGAACACTACAGTATCTTTCCAGAAACTAACAACAGATTAGCTGGTGAACACAATGGAGCATTTAAGACCTAAAGCCTGATATTTTCCTCAGAGCTAAAATACCAAACATCTGACTTACATAAATTAGCTGGACAGAAAAATACCTCAAGATGAAAGCTGATGTATCTGCCGGATATATAAATAAGCAACTTTTTTATAAGACGAAAGTGAAATGTCAGTGTTATATATATATATTTGTTTGTGCTCCTCAAGTGGCCAATTAATCAATGAATGCCGCTTTCAGCTGAAAGTTGCACACTTAAACACAGATACACTTACACTTTCTATGTGCACCGAGTAGCTGACCTCTATATCCAAAGAGATGCATTGCTTGTCCTTGCCAGTGGTGTCCATTTTCTCTTTTGTGTGTGTGTGTGTGTGTGTGTGTGTGTGTGTGTGTGTGTGTGTGTGTGTGGGTGTGTGTGTGTGTGTGTGTGTGTGTGTGTGTGCGTGCGTGCGTGCGTGCGTGTGTGTGTGTGTGTGTGTGTGTGTGTGTGAGAGAGAGAATCTCTGTGTGTGGTAGGGAGTGTGTTACATAGGTTGACCAGTTCAATTGCTTTGAGCTCACAAACCAGTGACATTGTGCAAACCTGGCCAACCAGACCCTCTCTGTACTGATCCACTGAACACACACACACACACACACACACACACACACACACACACACACACACACACACACACACACACACACACACACACACACACACACACACACACACACACACACACTGTTGTACCGATCACATACCGTTTTTATTTTATTATTAGTCAGCTTATTACTTACACACTGTTATTATAAGTAAATCTGCTATTCTTAAATAGTGTAATGTGCTAATGTGTGTGTGCATATTATTGTGTGAAGTGTTTGTCCCTCTATAAAACCACATTCTGTCCATCATGGCTGCTGTACTGGTAAAAAGCGGTAATATTTAACCCTTTTGCTGCGAGATTAATGGCGACATTGATCACATGACCAGATCTTCCATCAGCCCTCGTTAACAGGAAGTCCATCGATCAGCAGCTCTCTCACTTCTACTGGCGCATCATGTCATAGACATAGAGTGGCTAGATTGGACATACATTTGAATTTTTCTGTCTAAAGGAAGGGCTTGATGTGAGGTCTATCTGGATCTGTATTATCTTCTTTGTTAGGTTCCTTATTAATAAAGAATATTCAGATTACGTTTTTACAGGTCTTTAAATGGCCACACAGCTCCATTAATAAAATGTGTTATTCTCCTAATGTCTCATCACTTTTAGTGCATAAATATGTCCCGTAAAATTCGACAATCCAATCCGATGTGCAAATCGTGCAATCAGCCAGTGTTTACTATACGCCGTATTTCTGTCTTCTCTGCGCTCGTCGTCCGATAATGTCCCCCCCCCCATGCTGTGAGGGAGGGAGTCGGCCGCAGCAGGAAGCCCCCCCCCCCCATCCAGCCCTAAAGAGCACACATCATCCACAGCTTCATCATGACCATGTCACTTGATAGTCTTTCTTTTGCTTCATGACAGATTCTGAGAGTCAGCACTTAATAAGGAAAACAGACTGAAAATAAGTGAATGTTGACTTCAAAGGGCCGCCCAAAGATAAACATATGAAGTGATGATTCTGCATTTCTTTTAACTTCATGGGTGTGAGGAAAATATTTCTGGGTTTATCCTCCATTGCTTTACTCCTAACAGATGGAAGATCTAATTTATAACAGATTAACATTAAGATTGATTGAGTTTATTATTGTTAGTTATGGTTATTATTATTTATTTATTTATGATTTTTATGATTTTTTTATTTTTATGTAATTGAGCAAATAAAAAATAATAAAAGATAAAGAGAATCTGGAATAAAACATCAAATCAAAAAACATAAAAATATGTTCCTATCTAAATAATTTGTTATGATCTTGTCAATTTATAGTTATTGATATTTGGTAATAACGTGTTTAATGGTTAAAATGTTAAGTGATTGAAACAGGTCACAAAAACAGCCACTACAAATGACTTGGTGAGATATTGCTTAAAAGCCATCAGAGGGGATTCAGGGCCAAAAGAAGGAAATGTGCCTCTCGATATTTACTCATCCCCCCCTTTTCCATTTACACCTTTTATCTGTTTAGGCTTTTTATTTCTGTGTCTCCTCCCACTCTATAAACGCTGTCTCACACCTAATCTGTTTTTCCTCTTTTGCCTTGTTTTTAATCATTCTGTTTGTCTATTTCTCCCACTATCTGATATAGTGTTTTAATAGTTATCCTTATCCTGCCCTCCCCTAATGGTAAGACAAATGAAACAGAAGAGTCTAGATCTCAGAGAAAGCCCATTATCATTATGTAGTTTCAATAACAATCATGAGGCTTTTAAAAATGCGTCCAGCCTTAAATGCATCTAATATGATCAGCAGGCATTAAGCCTCCATTCATTGCAGAAGTGGTTCAATACTTTCATAAATGGCAAATTATTGTTATTTGATGATCTGTGAAAAATTAGAATGAGGCTCTACTGAGAGAAATATTGTGTAATTATCTGGCAGTACTGCACTGTCAGACCGAGTCAACATACATGCGTTATTTAAAGCCACTTATTCTACACTCAAACATCGCTATGGGTGTTAAGTTGTGATCCTGATCGAAGCACATCGATGCTGTCAAGTTCTGGATGTTGCAATGACATTTACAGCTATCTTAACATCATTGTGAGAATTCAATTATTTAGTAAATGATGGCAGTTCATCGATACATCTTATTCCAACTTGTCTCACGGCCAATTATTTCTTGCTTCACAATTATGAGGAGTAAATGTATTGAGCAGCGGCAGCCACACAGGCTGGAGTTAATCATGATTTTCTTTTCAAACGTATTGAGTGTATATACAGTATCTACCTAATTTAATTTCTTAGTTTGCTGTCTTTACTTCTTTCTGCAGTAGACATATAAATTCAATTGTTTATGATTTAAAAATGCTAATAGCAATATGAATAAACATTTTTTAATACATATTTCCTGATCTTTGTGGCAAATAGTTGGCGTCCTCTGATGTGCGATGCTTGAACCAGTAACCCTCTGGAGTGCGTATTCTTCCCTCCTGGGGCTTTGAGCTCTTTAATGCCGACCGTCGTTAAGAAAAAGAAAAAAGAGACGACATCCCATTCAGCTGGGGAATTTCTCGTTTTGTCACATTTGGGGATTGGATCCCATTTTCCAACTGAATGATTTCCCATGTTGCTCGCTAATGGATTGGATTGGATTTGAAATGAGAATGTTCCCATTTGAGGGATTTGGTCCAACTTATATGAAATTCCCCCTCTTCCAATAGTGAAAACTGAAACCATTGTGCAGTTATAAGTGAAGATTTACTTAGTTATTTACAGATAGGTGCCTTGCTTAGGAGCACCAAAGCTAAGTATCCACCGGGTGCATTGAGAAAAGTGTGCTTATTGCA